ATTAAGCCACAAGGAACCATATCCTACCTGACTCACTGACAGGCTGGGCATCAAGGATTTTGTCTCCTCAGGGGGATCAGTTTGTGTTTTATGAAGACTGGGGAGAAACCTTGGTTTCCAAAAGCACTCCGGCGCTCTGCGTGCTGGACGTCGAGAGTGGCAACATTTCCGTGCTCGAGGGGGTCCCTGAGCACGTGTCCCCTGGACAGGTCGGTAATAACTCAGCCCGTGGGTCCGGGGCCCGGCCTGAGCTGTTGCCACTTGCTCACCCCTGGTCTTATTCCCAGGCATTCTGGGCTCCTGGGGACACAGGTGTGGTGTTCGTGGGCTGGTGGCATGAGCCCTTCCGGCTAGGCATCCGCTACTGCACCAATCGCAGGTGAGAAAGGGGGGTGGGGCAGGGGCGCTCAGCCCGGCCGGCCCGAAGCTCAGTGTCTCTGGTGATTCCAGGTCAGCCCTCTACTACGTGGACCTCAGCGGGGGGAAGTGTGGTAAGTGGCGGCGCCCACCTGTGCTCTGCTGACACACCGGCCTCCGCAGCCTGTGTGATATGGCGTTTCCTTCTGGCCCAGAGCTCCTCTCAGACGACTCCCTGGCTGTCTTCTCTCCCCGACTGAGCCCAGATCAGTGTCGCATCCTCTATTTGCAGTTCCCATCTCTGGACTGCCATCATCAGTGTAGCCGGTTCTGCCTGGTGAGCTGGAAGAAGGCGGGGTGGGGGCAGCCAACAGGAAGAGGTGATGGTGGTGGGAGCTAGAGGCCTGGCCTCACCTCCCCTGGGTTCAGAGGATGGCCTCCTGCCCTGGGTGCAGCTGCGGTATGAGTTCTGAGCGAACTGGGGTGGAGACTGATCGCCTGGAGAGCATCCACCACCTGTAGGTCCTCCCTGGTTCCTCTGTGTGTAACCAGGCTCTGCAGGTGGCTGGGATACGAGGCTGTGTAAGGCCCCCCCATCCCCGCTGAAGAAGAGCCCCAAGCCCCTGGTGAAAGTCAGAGGGACGTGCCTGGCCGATCCCTCCATATATCTGGTCCAGGTCACCAGAAATGACATCCATCGGGCTTGTCTCACTTTCCCCCCTCCCAAGGCCATCGTAGAAAGGGGCTGGCACTGAGCTCCATGGCCCAAGGGCGCTGCCTGTCCCCTGGCGGGCCTGAACACTGTGTTCCCTTGCAGTACGACTGGTACACCAAGGTCACTTCCGTGGTGGTGGACGTGGTGCCTCGGCAGCTGGGAGGTAAGGGGACCTGGCTGGCTGGGGTCAGTGGGGTGTGCAATGCTGTGCTCCCCACCACCTGCTCCGTCCCTGCCTGGAGCTCCTTTCCTGGGTGTCTGCCCAGGGCCCTCCCTGCTGGGCCTGCCCTGTGCCCAGCACCTCAAGGCACAGTTCAGACAGAGGAGTGGGCTGGGCCAGCGCTGAGGTCCGAGTGGCCGTGCTGGTGGTTTTGTGCAAGTGTTGTATCTCATCACTGGGTTTTCTTATTTTTCCAGTGTCTGGTTAAAACCGCTGCTCCTTCAAGTGAGTCTCAGAAAGTACACTGGGTTAGAACGTCACGCTTAAGGGACCAGCAGATGGTGTAATGGCTATGTCGCTGGACTCCCATGTAGTCGACCGTGGTTCGGCTGGGCATCAAGGATTTTGTCTCCTCAGGGGGATCAGTTTGTGTTTTATGAAGACTGGGGAGAAACCTTGGTTTCCAAAAGCACTCCGGCGCTCTGCGTGCTGGACGTCGAGAGTGGCAACATTTCCGTGCTCGAGGGGGTCCCTGAGCACGTGTCCCCTGGACAGGTCGGTAATAACTCAGCCCGTGGGTCCGGGGCCCGGCCTGAGCTGTTGCCACTTGCTCACCCCTGGTCTTATTCCCAGGCATTCTGGGCTCCTGGGGACACAGGTGTGGTGTTCGTGGGCTGGTGGCATGAGCCCTTCCGGCTAGGCATCCGCTACTGCACCAATCGCAGGTGAGAAAGGGGGGTGGGGCAGGGGCGCTCAGCCCGGCCGGCCCGAAGCTCAGTGTCTCTGGTGATTCCAGGTCAGCCCTCTACTACGTGGACCTCAGCGGGGGGAAGTGTGGTAAGTGGCGGCGCCCACCTGTGCTCTGCTGACACACCGGCCTCCGCAGCCTGTGTGATATGGCGTTTCCTTCTGGCCCAGAGCTCCTCTCAGACGACTCCCTGGCTGTCTTCTCTCCCCGACTGAGCCCAGATCAGTGTCGCATCCTCTATTTGCAGTTCCCATCTCTGGACTGCCATCATCAGTGTAGCCGGTTCTGCCTGGTGAGCTGGAAGAAGGCGGGGTGGGGGCAGCCAACAGGAAGAGGTGATGGTGGTGGGAGCTAGAGGCCTGGCCTCACCTCCCCTGGGTTCAGAGGATGGCCTCCTGCCCTGGGTGCAGCTGCGGTATGAGTTCTGAGCGAACTGGGGTGGAGACTGATCGCCTGGAGAGCATCCACCACCTGTAGGTCCTCCCTGGTTCCTCTGTGTGTAACCAGGCTCTGCAGGTGGCTGGGATACGAGGCTGTGTAAGGCCCCCCCATCCCCGCTGAAGAAGAGCCCCAAGCCCCTGGTGAAAGTCAGAGGGACGTGCCTGGCCGATCCCTCCATATATCTGGTCCAGGTCACCAGAAATGACATCCATCGGGCTTGTCTCACTTTCCCCCCTCCCAAGGCCATCGTAGAAAGGGGCTGGCACTGAGCTCCATGGCCCAAGGGCGCTGCCTGTCCCCTGGCGGGCCTGAACACTGTGTTCCCTTGCAGTACGACTGGTACACCAAGGTCACTTCCGTGGTGGTGGACGTGGTGCCTCGGCAGCTGGGAGGTAAGGGGACCTGGCTGGCTGGGGTCAGTGGGGTGTGCAATGCTGTGCTCCCCACCACCTGCTCCGTCCCTGCCTGGAGCTCCTTTCCTGGGTGTCTGCCCAGGGCCCTCCCTGCTGGGCCTGCCCTGTGCCCAGCACCTCAAGGCACAGTTCAGACAGAGGAGTGGGCTGGGCCAGCGCTGAGGTCCGAGTGGCCGTGCTGGTGGTTTTGTGCAAGTGTTGTATCTCATCACTGGGTTTTCTTATTTTTCCAGTGTCTGGTTAAAACCGCTGCTCCTTCAAGTGAGTCTCAGAAAGTACACTGGGTTAGAACGTCACGCTTAAGGGACCAGCAGATGGTGTAATGGCTATGTCGCTGGACTCCCATGTAGTCGAAAAAAAAAAAAAAAAAAACAAAACAAGAATGTCCCGCTTGAGAGGCTCTGGGCACAAGAGTGCTATTATTATTTCACCTCCCACCCTCCCAGCAGCCTTTGTCCATCCCAAGTGGGTTCTCTGTGAGGGTGGCTCTCGGCCAAGATGTGGGTCTCCGTCTAAGGTGTTCACGGCTTAGGATCCTGGGCTATCCCCCCGGCCACGAGCTGATTCTAGGACTCCAGTAGATGGGGATGGTCTCTGTCTTCACTTTGGACTGCAGAGGTGCCATGGTGGAGACCTAGGGCCTGAACCCCTGCTCTGCCTGCATTAGCTCTGTGTCTGGATGGGGAGCTCCCTGAGCTCCCGTTTCTGCGTGTGCAGAGCTGGTGAATTCCCCTGCCCTCCATGCCAGCTGAAGTGAGGGTTTACTGAGTGACACTATTGAAGGGCAGGCTGCAGTGAGCCCTGTACCAGGCCTTACAGCAGACAGACAGTGGGTATCACCCAAGGGCATGCAGGCACGTTTCCCTCGTGAGAAGCAGCCGCTGTGCTGGCGCAGTTTTTTCTAATGTGTATTTCTCCCATGAGCAAGAGCGGCAGAGGCAGCACCCCACTAGCGTCCCAAGGCTGCAGTCCACGTCCTCAGGCGGCTCTGTCCGTCATCCCCTCATCGCCAGGGCTCACGTGCCTGTGGGGCCGCCGTTCTGCCATGAGCTGCGGGCCCTGGTTCACCTGAGCATGGTGAACCCCCTAATAGCCCGGCCTGCCCTGTAGCTTTGGCTCCCTGGCTACAGCTCCCATCCCCCCGTCTTTGCAGAGAACTACTTCGGGATGTACTCCTGCCCTCTGTCCCTGGACTGCTGGTCAGCTGACAGCCAGAGAGTGGTCTTCTACTCAGCTCAGCGCAGTCGGCAGGTAGGGGATCCTACTGCGTTGAGAGACAGCCCCCGGCCCTTGGGGCACGGTGCACAGATGCCGCTGGTAGGACGTGCAACTGCGGGTCTTGCCAACGTCTTACAGCCCCAGCTGCCCCGTCCTGGGTTCCCTGCCCTGCCCTGCCCTGCAGTAGAACCCTTGGGCTTTGCATCAGAGGCTGAGATACGACCCCTCCCAGGCATTTTCAGCTGGGGGACAAGAGCCCCTTGGAGATGGGGCCCTGGAAACTCCGTGAGAGCAGCTGATGGGGACAGGAGTGAGCCCTTCCCCGGGGCTGGGGTGAGGGCACTCAGTGTGTGACGTCATCCGGTCCTCGTGCTGACTCAGTCATGATGGGGCCAGGATTTGAACTAACACTCAGGCTGCCCATGTTGTACTGGGTCACTATTGCCATAGCTTCTCACAGCAGTGGCCTGGCCCAGGGGTCCCCAAGAGGGCAGAGGGTTCTTGGATGTGAACCCTCATGCTGCCTGCCCTCTGCCTCAGGACCTGTTCGTCTTGGATACCCAGAGGGGCACCGTGACCTCCCTGACGGCTGGTGAGCAGGGCTTTGGGGTGGGGAAGAAGTCAGGGCTGGGTCTGGAGACATGGGACACAGCCCCCTCAGCCACCCTGCTCCACCGCTGGGTCCACTCCCCAGGCCTCAGTCCCCTGGGGTCTGCGGTCCATGCAAGCCCCTAGCCCGGACAGCAGACCACCACCCTATTCTGCCTTCGTCAGCCCTCAGCTTGGCTCCGTGTGCCATGGCCTGGCCCCCACCCCTGCTCCTGAAGCCCACAATACTCTCTTACCAAGATCTGTCAATCACCCTCCCCCTGCCACCCCAGCCCCTCAGAGAGGCTGGGCGTGAGCTCCCTTCTCCCCGCACTCCAGCCTGTGAAACGTGGAGTCCCTTGCTTGCCCTGGTTCCACTTGCTTTTTCACAAAGCTACCGAAGCATTGTTCTAAGTCATGCAACTCCTAGCAAAGAATCTGCTGGGGCCCCCGGCCCTCCCTACCCTGGGCCCAGATGCCACCCTCACACTGGGTGGGTTGCCTGGGTGACCTGGTGCATCTCAGGGCTAGCAGTTCCCAGGTCTAGCCCGTATCTCCCAGGTGAGTAACGGGCCACGTGCGAGGTTCCCCAGGCCACATGCAGTTGGGTGTCTGTGAGAAGTCCTTGTCAGGCCAGAGGGGCACCTGCAGCCCTGGACTCTGCAGGGAGCTGGTGGGGAAGGTGGTGGCCGCTGCCTGGCACTGAGTGGCACCCACCTTCTCCAGAGGGCACAGCTGGAAGCTGGACTCTGCTCACAATAGACCGGGACCTCATGGTGGCACAATTCTCCACACCCAGCCTACCCCCAAGCCTGGTAAGTGTGGGGCCTCCCGGCCAAGGCACTCTGCAGGCCGAGCTCTGCAGGTCAGGGCCCTGGCTCGAGTCTGACTGTCACTCTCCAGTATGTCAAGGGGCTACGACCCAGGCCTGGCCCCCCAGTCTGTAAGGGTCTGGCCCTCATGAAGTCAGTGCTCAGGGATTCCAGAGCTCAGGGAGCTAGCAGAGCTCAGGTGAGGAGGGTGTGTGTGTGAGAGAGAGAGAGCGAGCGCTTGAGTGCTTGGTATATACCAGCTCATGAGAATCCATACTATACTTCTGGGCTGCGTAGGAGGCCCAGCATTGGTGAGAGCTGCCCACCTTGTACCCTGGGCTGAGGTAGGACAGGGAGGCAGCGGGGCCACTTGTAATATTCCTCCTCCTTGGCAGAAAGTTGGGTTCCTGCCTCCTGCGGGAAAGGAGCAGTCGGTGTTGTGGGTGTCTCTGGAGGAGGCTGAGCCCATTCCCGACATCCACTGGGGTATCCGAGTGCTGCAGCCACCCCCAGAACAGGAGAACATGCAGTACGGTGAGCTGGGGAATGGCACAGGGTCCCTGGCATGCAGCATCTTTGGTGGCCTTGCCTCCCTCCTGTCCCACATTGTGGGTTTCCTAGAATGGCCTCTAAGAGGTGTGTTTCCGCTCTTGCAGAGAGTCATGGGGGTAAAGCCCGGGCATCTGAGCACCTGCGCCAGGTCTCAGAACTGTCTTCAGGCCAGGTCATTTGTAGTCGGGAAACTAAGGCCCAAAGAAAACGGGCCTCGCAGCAGGCCCTGTGAGCACGTCTCGTCCTGCAGAGCAGGCCTCCCCGACTGGGGCGGGAGCGGGAGCCTCCTGGCCCGTGTGTCAGAGCCTGAGCTCCCAGGGCCGGATCTCTGCTCCAGAGCTCAGCCCGAGGCCTGCAGCTGTAGACGGGCCTGGGCTGCGGTCCTCTCCAGCAGCGGCACAGCCCTGCTGACTGCTCTCTCCCTGCAGCTGGCCTGGACTTTGAAGCAATCCTTCTGCAGCCCAGCAACCCTCCAGATAAGACCCAGGTGCCCTTGGTGGTCATGCCCCACGGTAGGCATCTGCCCCAAAACCCTCACCCTCCCACACTCCTCCTAGCTGTCTCTTTCAAGCTCTGCTCCCTGTCCGTAGGGGGACCCCATTCATCCTTCGTCACTGCCTGGATGCTGTTCCCAGCCGCGCTCTGCAAGATGGGCTTCGCGGTGCTGCTAGGTGAGCAGCAGGGCCCGTGGCCCTGTTGGGCTGCACCGTGGTGACAGGGTGGGCCTGCTGTGGTCAAGCATCGCGGGTGTCACTGTAGTCAGGCCTTTCTGTGGCCCAAACCCAGTAGCTGCTGCTGGGAAGAGCCCTGGCCCTGCCTGGCTCCATCGTGCGGTGATAATGAGGATGAATCAGGAAGTGCACAGGAGGGGTGACCTGGTCACTGGGCACCCCTCAGATCTCTTGGTCCCTTCCCCTTGTCGTCTGTGGGGAAGCTGGCCCCAGCCCCCTTCACAGGTGTAATGGTGTCTGTGGGTTGGGACTGTCTCTGACTACCTGTCTGCTCCCTCCCTGACCTCCAGTGAACTATCGCGGCTCCATAGGCTTTGGCCAGGACAGCATCCTCTCTCTCCCGGGCCACGTGGGTGATCAGGATGTGAAGGACGTGCAGGTAGCAGGGAGCTGGGGCTCCAGGCGGGGTGTCGGGGCTCCACTCAGGGTAGGCAGCTGCTGCAGTGTGCCCTACTCTCCCCAGTTTGCGGTGGAGCAGGTGCTCCGGGAGGAACACTTTGATGCCAGCCGTGTGGCCCTTATGGGTGGTTCTCATGGTGGCTTCCTCTCCTGCCACCTGATCGGTCTGTACCCAGAGACCTACAGAGTCTGCGTGGTCCGGAACCCTGTGGTCAACATCGCCTCCATGATGGGCTCCACGGACATCCCCGACTGGTGGGTGCACACCAGCCCTGCCCTGTCCTGTCCCCACACGCCAGGGGGCCCCAACAGCTCCAGGCGTCATGGGCAGCGTCCGTTTCATCTCTCAGGTGCATGGTGGAGGCCGGCTTCCCTTACAGCAGCCACTGCCTGCCAGACATCAGCGTGTGGGCCAACATGCTGGACAAGTCGCCCATCAAGCACGTCCCTCAGGTAGGCAGCCCTTCCCCGCCCCGGTGCTGCCCGTCCATCAGGTTCCTGCACCCAGCTCCCCTCCACTCCCCCCCTCTCCTCACACTCCCAGGTGAAGACGCCGCTGTTACTCATGCTGGGCCAGGAGGACCGCCGCGTGCCTTTCAAGCAGGGCATGGAGTATTACCGTGCGCTCAAGGCCCGGAACATTCCTGTTCGGTGAGTGTGGTGGGGTAGCCCTGTGGGCAGGTGAGCAGAGGAGGACCCTCCGCCCCTAAATGCCGCCGCCGAATCCCTCCAGGCTCCTGCTCTATCCCAAAAGCTGCCACACACTCTCGGAGGTGGAGGTGGAGTCAGACAGCTTCATGAATATTATACTGTGGCTGCACACGCACTTGGGCAGCTGAAGCCCTGCCGTCCCACAGCACCCAGCAGCCTACGCCACACTTCAGTCTCGGGGACCTCCAGGGCCTGGCAGAGCAGCGGACTGTGTGGGCAGAGGACTGTGGGCTGAGTGGTCGTAATAAACGAGGACACAGAGCCTGGTTCCTGCTGGTGCTCTGTACCAAGCCATCCCCACCCCAGCCCTCGCCCTGGGGTCAGAGACCCTAGGCCTTGGGTGTGGTGGCCACCAGGGCTGATCGCCTCAACCTGTGCCTGCCTGGCCTCTGGGACCCTGCACTACTAGCCTAGCTCCCTCTGCTGCACCCTTCCCCTCCCAAGGGAGTGTCTGCAGAATAGTGAGGCCCTGCCCTTCCACAGCACCCACAGGCCGAGGTGGTCTCAGGTCAGACCACCCTGCCACCCAGACCCTTGCAAGGGATCCCAACTCATTCCCTGCAAGCAGAGCCTAAGAAGCACTCAGGCCAGCCCGTGGCTTGGTTGGGGTGGCTGGAGCCCACGTGGCCAACTGTAGTTCCAGTCCCAGACCCGGCAGCTCAAGGAACACACTGGACATGCCCAAGGGCCCTAACGGAGGGAGAGGTGGAGAGCGGACTGTGGCGGGCCCTCCCCCACGGGGGCTTTCTCACTTTCCCTCTGTGTCTCTCTGGCGAGTGCATGCACACCCTCTGGCAAAAAAGCAGCACTGTACAGGCAGGAAAAGCAAAGGCAGCTTTATGTGTAACAGGAAGAATTGTCCTCCCAAAGGCACACAGGGCGGAGGCCAGCCCTAGCCCAGCCGCACGACCTTGTGAATCCAGTCCGTAAATACTGAGACACGCATGAAGATGGCCGGCCAGCCAGGCCGTGCGCACACTCGGTTGGGGATTATAATTCCCTCCAGCACCCAGCAGTTGTGGGTGAAGCAGGCGAGCGGGCCCCCGTAGTCACCCTGGCAGGTGGGAGAAGCCGTGAGGGCCCTGGGCCACAGCAGTGACCAGAGCCTCCCCAGGCTGGCCCGAAGACCTCACTGACCTCGCAGGCCCCCACCGACCCCAGCAGCCCTCCGGTACACATCTCGCTCTCCTTCACGCGCCCCCGGTGCTTGATGTTACACTCTTGGTTGGAGATCACGTTCAGTGACGCAACCTTTAGGACTGTGTCGTTACCTGTCCCTGTGGTGAGGGGAGTGGGGGAAGAGGGCCTTGGCAGGATAGAGCCGGGCTGCTGGCCTGGACCCCTCCGCCCCGCACTGTGCTCTCACCTCTGGTCTCACCCCAGCCTGCGATCTCGCATTTGGTCCCTGGGGGCACCACATACCGCTCAGGGGGCAGGCAGATTAGGGCTACGCGCTGGTTCAGGGTCACAGGTCTTTAGTAGGAAGGGGACACTCAGTTGAGGTCTGAGGCCACAGGGCCCAGCCCTACCCCCCACGTCCTCAGCACGTCCACATACCTCTCCAGCTTGAGTAGGACCAGCTGGGAGCCCGAGGGCCCGCACACCATCTTGGCCACTGCAACCCGCTGCAGGCCTGGCTCCCCCGGCTGTGGGTTCTGGAACAAGGTGCCCAGCCACACTTCATAGCCCAGGAGAGGCACGTGGCTGGGAGAGACGCCCTGCTAGCCTGGTGGCTCCAGGCTCTCTTGCCGGCTTGCCCGGGGCAGGGGCTTGGGCGGGTTCTCAAACCCGAGGGCGGCTCACCAGGAGGAGAAGCACTGCCGTGCAGTCAGCACCCACTGCTCCTTCACCAGGGACCCCCCGCAGAAGTGCTGGCCCTGCCTGGGGGGGAGGGGGGAACCCTGAGGCCCTGCCAGCTGCTTTCAGGGAGGGCTGGAGCAGCTTCCTGTCCGCGCTGGCATAGCCATACAGGACAGCCCAGCTCCTGTCCCCGAGCCCAGATCCTGACTCACCTGTTGCGCAAGCTGACCGTCCAGGGGGAGTTTCCAGGCTGGCCCCCCACCATCCGCAGTTTGGAGCGCTTTAGGTCAGGCCGATCCACCCTCTTGCCGCACTTCTCAAACAGCACCTGGTCTGGGGGGTAGGGCAGGCCGGGTGAAACCCCACTAGGTAGAGGTGGGGGACACTGGCCCTGACCTACTGCTGGCCCAAGCCCTTACCTGGAGGGTCCAAGATGGAGGACGGACGGTCATCACCTGAAAGAGTTCATGGCGGCTAAGGGAGCCAGGCTGTGGTGACTCCCGTAAGGGTGGTGGCAGTGAGGTGTAGGCAAAGGGAGTGTGTAAGTGGCAAGGCATACCGCAACGCTGCAGCGTGCAGTAGTCGAATGGCGTCCCGGGGTCCATGGTGTAGCACCAGGGGCCGTGACTGTCCCCGTCTGGGTTCCGGCAGAAGTTCTCCTCCAGATGCGCCTGTGGGGCCGAGGTGGGCGTGAACCTAAAAGGGGTGAGCGGGGGGCAGAGTCACAGCGAGGTAGGCCCGACCTCCACGGGGCCAGAGCAGAGCCTGCCAGGTCTACTCACTGCGGCTTGTGCGGTGTCTCCGCGTCCCAGCGCTGGCACGGGATGCCCTTACGGGTCTTGCTGACGGAGCCGCGGTACCGCTCTCCGACGCCGTGGTAGCAGTCTGCAGCAAACGGGGACGGCAGTCAGCTCCAGCCCTCCAGCTCCACGCCTCCAGTCCCAGCTCTGTCCCCCGATCGGGTCTCACCCTCGGGCCGCACGTCGTCGGCGCAGCGCCGGATCTGGTAGCAGAACGCCACGCGCATGCCGGGCCGCGATGTGAAGCACCAGGGCGCCTCGGAGCCGTCGGGGTTGCGGCAGAAGTTCTCCCGGAGGTCCCTACGGAGCAGACTTCTCAGCCCCGGCGGCGTCCCGCCCAGGCGTCTAGTCCCCGCCTTCCTTCAAGCCCTGCCCCGGGACCGCGTCCTCCGCGCCCGCCCACCACCTCACTTGCACGCGTATTTCTCGGGGGCGAAGCGGTGCTGATGCGGGCTCTGCGCGTCCCAGCGCTGGCAGGGCACCCCCGCGGCGGTGGTATTGGCTGTGCCCCGGTAGCCCTCGCCCTTCCCGCGGAAGCAGTTCAGAGTCGTGGCCTCGTGGCGCGGCCGTGTCTCGGACCCTTGGTCTGGGCCCCTGGGATAGAACAAGGTAGATCAGGCCCCGAGGCGAGCTGGGACCCCGCAGGAGCCACTGGCTG